TCCCGCAGCGGTACTGGCGGAGGTGATCAAGGCCTTCGGGGTGCCCGAGAACGCGCAGCGCATGGAGGAGGCTCGAGATAACGCATGCAACGACATGGGCAAGATGCTGCAGTTCCTCCTGCCCGTGGCCACCCAGATCCAGCAAGACGTGATCAAAGCCTACGGCTTCAGCAACGACGGCGAAGGGGGTGGTTTGCCCCCCCCCAGGCGGGGAGCTCCGGGCCCGCCGAGGCGGCGGCGGCGGGCGGGTGTCTCCTTCCCACCCGCTGTCTTGCAGGGGTCCTGAAGTTCGCCCGGCTGATCAAGTCCTACGAGTCGCAGGACCCGGAGATCGCCAGCATGTCGGGCAAGCTGAAGGCCATGTTCCTGCCGCCCATGACACTGCCGCCGCGGTACCGGCGGGGTGGCAACCTCCTGAGACCATGGACCTCTCCAGCTCCGCCGGGTCGTGGTGCTCTGGCTGGTGCCTTCCTTCCAAGGTGCGGGTCCTGTCAGCCCTGGGAATGGAGCACTTGAAGAAGGGAGGCGCTGACCTGAAAGAAACGGGATGTTTTGTGCCTGCTTGTGTGTCTGCTTGTGAATAAAAAAATGTCTTGAAAATGCTCTTGTTTTGTGCATGAACGTGAGCTCAGCAGTACTCCTCAGGCACAGATGCTTCTTCCTCGCGCAGAGGCAGTTACAGCAGCGCCCACCGCATGCCTGATGAAACCTGTGCTAGTGTTTTGAGGGGCTCAGTATGTACCAAGTTCTGCATAAAGGTAATTGTTTATGCAAGGCTTAGTGTGAAGCCCTAGAGTGACCTTTTTTTTTAACATTTCAGTAGGCAGTAAGACCTGTTTAAGACCAAGCATTTGCAAATGTGCTACTTGAAGCACACTAGGTAATGTGTCCCTAAACACAATCTAGTGCTGTTCAGCAAGCGCCATAAATGGCCTGAGATCCCTGTCGCCAGCAGGGTCAGTGCAGCTAAGTCCTGCCACCAGTGCCGGTGGCTGCATTGTTTTCTGGTTGAATGGGCCATCAAACGTGTTAGCCCTAATGAAAAAGGCAGCAGAGAGATGCAGCAGGGACCAGGATGGTGTGGGAGGTTGGGCCTACCCCGTTTGGCTGCAGCCTGGATTAGAACAACATATGATTCTATCTCACGTCTTCTGGGACCAAAGAGAGACAGACCTAGCAGAGCCCCCTGGCTCCAGTGGACATTTTGTGTTTCTGACTTGATTCAAATGAAGGGACATCAGAGGTTTCTGCTTGTAGCCTCCTGCCTTGTGTGCCTGTTGTCCTTGGAAGTGCTGAGGCCTTTTGGGGAGGGTAATGTGCGCCAGGGTGGCAGGGCTGGGGGTGATGAAGCCAAGCCTAGGAGAGCAGGGAGCTGTGAGCCAGGTGTGAGAGCGCTGCGTCCAGTTTTGCCTCCTGTGCCTTTCAGTTACAAACCAGGCAGGAATGTAGCCAGTGAGGGCGTGCGCTTCATGGATAGGAGGCAGGAAGAGCAGTCAATCCCTTCCGTCTCCATCTACCTCTCCCAGCTTGGCCTTGGCCTTCCCCCACCCCTCTAATTATTCATTAACTACAGCCCAGGAAGTGCTTTGCAAATGGTGAAAATTAAGCCCTCTGCTTGAGGCCTGTGGTTTGCCTGACCTGGAGATACCTTCTTAGTCCGCCTAGGGCAGGTGGAGTTCAGGACTGTGCCTGTGTGGATCAGACACAGGTGAGTCACGGGAGGTGCTGCAGCACCCACGCGCTGCCAGCTGTTCCTCCAGAGCTGTGGCACTCACTGCGGCCGTGAACGTCCAGCCCGCCTCTGTGAAGGTCGTTGGTCTCTTTCCCGAGTCCGTCTCAAGATACTGTCTTGGTAATTCCAGTATTGCTTTATTTTCTTTAATAGGAGCCTCTGGTTAAGGGCTGTGGTACTTTGTCCACCAGCTGCTGTCAGTCCCCCATCAGTGAGGATCTGAGAGTTGAGATCCTGATGCCATCCTGTGGGTGAGTGCTGTGAGTGCTAGTCAGGGGAAGAAAACAAGATTTATTGGTGAGAAAAATAAAAATACTGGCAGTAGGTTTTGGGCACAGAAGGCAAAAAACCCCACCTTCTAATGGGAGCTACAGGACAGCTAGAGTTCATGGTGTTTTAGGTTGTTTATTTCTGTTACCATTGCTCCTTCTCACTTTGACAAAGAGCAAGCAGGGTTTGCAATGCCCAGTCAGCTACTGTTCCTCTGCCAGCCCCACAGCTGCAGCATCTCTGAGTGTTTTTGTACAGAGAGGTCAGGTGGCTGACCTTTTACATTCTCGTTACTTCTTGATTTGCTACAGTCTTTCTATCCCTTTATGGAACAGTAGGACATAAAACCTTCACCATCAGTCCAAACGGGTGCTCTGCGCTGGGAACAGCAGTGTCATGGTGTAAGGAAATGGGATTCGCACTAGCATTACTCCATGGTAAGGATCTGGGCAACCATGATGGTCCAGCACTGTCTTGGGGTCCCGCAGCCTGACAGAGAGCATCTGGCTTGGGCAAAACACAGGAAGATGGTCCATCTACCCATTCCCCAAGCCCAAGTGGCCTTCACTCTGCGCTAACAACTGAACTATGATGCAGTTCTGTGCAAAACAACAAAACCTCCTGTCTAAAGTCATCTCAGTGCTGAGAATTAGATGTAACAAATGCAATGCTGATCCTCAAAAGGGGCTTCAGATGAGATCCCCCAAATATGGGGGAAGCACAGAACAATGAAGTTGCTATCTGGGCAAGAGGGTAGACAGTATGACAGAGAGCAATGAGTGTGATATTAAAGAGTGAGTCAGTGTCTGCTTTTGTAAAGGCAAATCCTGTCTTGTAAAACTGGAGCTTTTGAGGGACTTAGCAAGCTTGTGGGTAAGGCAAGTCTGGCTGATAAAGGTCCTTGGATTTCTAAAAAAATTATTTTACAAGGTTGTCTCATCAAAGTCTAAATAAGGCTTAAGTCACGGCATAAGAACGAAGATAATGTTTTTCTTGGGTAAAGAATTAGTAGAATATAGGAAATGGAAGGTGGGAATAAACATCCAGTTTTTACAGTGAAGGGAAGTCACCAGTGACAAGATCACAGGGATCTAACCTGAAATACACACTGTTCAGTATATTCTCAAATGACCTGGAAATAGAGCTTGTACAGTGAGGTGAGAAAATTGGCTGATGGTAGAAAGTTATTCAGGATAATAAGGTGGGAGATGACTGTGAATAATTGCAGAAGGACCTTATGATAGTGAATGAGTGGGCAATAGAACAGCAGATGAAATATAAAATAGGCATATGTAAAACAATGTTCACAGAGAAAAATAATTCAAAATTTACATATAAAACAATGAACTGTGAACTAATCGTAACCACTCTGGAGTAAGACTGAGATCATATATAAGTCCATGCAATTGTTAGCTTAATGCTTAGTTGTGGTGAATAAATAGCAGGAATCATCACTGTGTCTATATATCTATGTCCATGTCTCACCAGCGTCTTGAACACTGCAGTTCTGTGACACTCCAGAACAATACAAGAGAGTTGGAAACATCTCAGAGACAGACAGCAAAAGTGATCAGAGGCGTATAAAAGCTCTGTATGAAGAACACCTAAATAGGGTTGGAGTCTTCAGCCTGGCAAAGAGCTGAGGAAGGGTGTGGACATCCCGGGTCTGTATCATGAGCAGCTTGGAGGGGGTGAATAGGAGTCAGTTGTTGATTATTCTTTCTTTACAACAACAAGCTGTTAATAAAAATGAGGCAGGGAGCAGGTTATAAGCAAGCCAAAGGAGAGGGTGTTTCTGTAGCTAGGCAGTGAAACTCCTTGCCAAAGGATGCTAAATTTGTTATGGATTTGATGGTTGACTCCACAAGTAGCTGCAAATAGAGGCTTAGGGAGTACAGAAAGAAACTCCATGTGAAACCTCTTTCTCTACCCTTCCTTTGACTACTGTTTTGATCTCTGGATCACCTAGTCCAACCCCCTGCTCACAGCAGAGCTAACCCCAAAGCTAGATCAGGTTGCTCAGGGCCTTGTTTTAGGTGAATCCTGAACATCTCCAAGACGGGAGATTCCCCAGCCTCTCTGGAGACCTGTGGCAATTGCTGAACTGCCCTTGGGGGAGAGTGTGTGTGCAATTTTTCCTGATACCTAATCAGAATTTCCCTTGCTGCAAGGTACACCTGTTGCCTCTTCTCCCTTTGCTGTGTCTCACAAAGAATATGGCTCTAAAGGCCCCAGTCCCCCTCTAGGTAGTCTCAGACAGCTGTTAAATCCCTCCTTAAGCATCTTTTCTCCAAGCTGAACTAACCCAGCTTCCTCCATTTCTGCTGTGCTCCAGGCTCCTCACTGCTTTAGTGGCTGTATGCTGGATTCTGTCCAGTTTCTCAGTGGGCTTTTTACAGCAGTCCAGATGTGGGTGTCTTTTAATTAGCTATTTATTTCATTTATCTTCTCTAAATTTGTTCCTGTGCTAGCTGTGGCTTGGGTCCACAAAGGATTTACAAGATGAGGTTCTACCATCTGTGTTGTACTGAAAGCCAAACAGCAGCATAAGAGTAGTCTCTCTGGTGAAATCTCTTGACCTGTTAATTATGTTAAGAAAGTATTTTAGCAGCTCAATTATAGTCTGCTGTTAGCATGCTGCAGCCATTCAGGAGAGAAACCTCAAAGATACCAACAAATTGGCTTCTCTGCTGTGATATTTCCCTCCCTTACCAGCAGGAACACCTCATTGCTTGTTTTTAATTAGGTGGTCCAGATCAAAGACACCAAGGTGGCTGTGTGCATCCAGTCCTTTCCTGAGCTGAAAGCAACATGATTTGGGATTTGTATCCACACAAATACTGATGTGTGGGTTACACTGCATGCTGTTTGTCATACTGGAGGATACTAAATTACATGGGTCTAGTGCTAACTTGCCTCTTCTATTCTGATCTGGACTCTTTGCTACCTTGTTCTTTCCCTGTTCCCCTGTGTCCCACTAATGTTCGTTTCCTCAGACAGATTTTCTGCTTCAGACAGTTCATAAGGGGTAGGGATGCCTAGGTTTTATTTTTGTCTGCCGTAACTTCATATCAACCCTACATAAGCTAATGTTCTTTTGATACTAGGAATTCTCTTTTGGGACTTCTGCCCAGAAGTTCCTGTCATTTCTGTCCTACCACTAAACAATATTTCTTTCCTATGCTAGTGTTAGATTGGCTTGGATTTAGGTGCAGTTTTTTAGATGCAACTTCTAGAATTTTGTGTAGAATTTCTTCCCTTAAACCACAGTCCTTTAAAGTCTCCTTTTTTTTAATATCAGTTTTAAGACAGTACATCTGGACCCTGCAGCTCACCACATCCCAGCTCATCATGTGTGTGAAACTAGAAGTATTTCAAAGGAAGCTGTTGTAGGTGCCTGGGCTGACTCTCTAGCAATGAAGTTTAGCTTACTACTCATCTCTCCTATACTTCCCTTTGGTTTTAGTTTCTGTCTTGGCCACAAGTTTTGTCTCAGTCATTGCTAGCAGCCTGTTCAGCTTTGCAGGATTTCCCAGTCTGGTGGTGTGTAGGGAAGTATGCAGCGCTGATACCTGAAATGGGCAAGACTTCTGCTGCTCCTGCTGCCCATACTACCACACAGGGTAGCTGAGATGGCTGCAGGAAAGATTCAGGCTCCTTTGCCAGGTGTATTGCCTTCTTTGGCCACTGCTTAGCTCCTGTTCTTTCATGAGACCTGCAGACTTTGAAACCAGTGGTATGGAAAAGGGCAGCCATGGTGCGTAGCTGGAAGTGGCTAGGTAACTGGAAATAGTTAGTTTTCCTTCTTTGTATTTGGTTGTCCAGGTTGACAATGTTGGCCTCTGTATGCTGTACTGGGATCTTGAAGGAACTAGGCTAATGGTGCTCATGGTCCTGTGTGGGACCACTGCAGGTCATAGCTGTTTGCCCTGCTCTCTGCCTGCTTTTCTGGGCTGCTTCAACACCACCTCCCACACCATCCCTTTTGAGCTACTAATGCTCGTGTCCGTTGCATCCCCCAGCAGGCTGTTCTCAGGAGCGCCATGCTGTGCTTAGAGTGTTAGCCTCGAACTCAAAGTCTGCAGCTCTGGGTTTGCACAGATTCCCCCGTGGCTGCGCAGAGCACGTAGGATACTTACCTGCCCAGAGGGCTCATCAGCAAGCCCGAGTATGGAGGTTTCAGCTGGGTAGCTGAGGGCACCCCAGCAGAGCCAAGCTGAGTGGCTGGGCAGTCAGACCTGCAGTAGGGTGCTTCATTGCTCAATGCATGTGCTGCCTGCTTCAGCCTTGCATGTGTGTCGGTGACCCCAGGCAACTGTGGTCCCCTTGGCATGCACGGCAAGGACTTGAGGGTGGGGAGCACTCATGCCTCTGGGCCTTTTGGGAAAGAAGGGGAACAAAGGACATGCAGAACTGAATTTTGTGATCACGGCCGGGACCCAAGATGCACTCGTAGAGTCAACCCTGGTGTGAAAAAAGAGAGGGACCCAAAAATAATAGGGGGGATGGGGAAGAAAGTCACAAAAGGAGAAGCAGAAGTGTGTGCAAAGCAGC